GTAACCCTTTGTGCGGTTTTGGTCATGGTGGAGGTCGTGTAACCTATTAGAAGCAAATTTACGTCGTTTTTGTTCGACGGGTTTTACATTGGATCAATGTTCAACTTATGAGATATAATGTTGGGGTTGAGTTCAACCATGTGTCCATGTGAAACAGTCAGCGCTTTCCCTTAGGGATTCATCCTTTGATGTTGGGATCTAAGGATGCCCGGAAGAATATTGTCTGATTAGGCCTACTCGGATCAAGGGCGACTTCTTGAAGTTGTCAATCATTAACTTCATCCAAGTGATCTTGGTTCTGTAATTGCTAAATACCGCCTTTTCATGTTTTCATTGATGTCTTATAGCCTTCTCGAATGGTCTTTCGTTCGCTCTTGAGCTCCTAGACCCCCAATAAAGTTGGAAAATTTATGTTCTGATAATAATAGGTGGAAAAGACTGCCTGTAAATCTTGGATCCAGGGTCGTCAAAGGATCACGTTGTATGCAAAGGAGTAATCTGTGCCATTGAATTTGGTTGGTTTATGGACGCCTTTGGCATATACAGGGAGAATAATCTCTCTAACGTGTTGACAATGTCGCCGTTGAAACCAATGAGTATGGTCGAGCGTTGTACGAATTCTTTATCTTCGATTCCCACAGCTTTGAGTTTGTCGAGCTTCCTCCATTGACCAGAATCCTTTTGGTCGAACAATTTCCAATAGTCAATTGAATAATTAGACTGTCATTGTGTTTTCGCTAAGGATCGTAGATATCATCGTTGTCGAAAGAAATGGTCATTGAATCTAGGTCCATTTCCGTTTTGCATATGTCTGTCCTGCAAAAGTTTGACTTGTCTGACGTTTGGCCAACATGTCTTTTGGTTGTAGAATATGTTAGTCCACAAATTTTAAACCTACCAGTTATGTAATTTATTACCTTGTTGGTATTGATGGGGGATGGAGGTCGAGCGTTTATAACATCTTCGGATAGTAGCTCATGTGGATGTCCTTTAGGGATTAGCCAAGCTATGTCTCTTTGAAAGGCCAAGCAATCGTCGTTCGTGTGTCCGTGATCATCATGAAGCCACACCATTTGGATTTGTCTTGGGCTTATCATTTCTCTTAAGAGCTTCGATCAGATCTTTATGGGTTCCTTTAAAACTGTATTCAGAGATCTTGGGATGTTGTTTTCCCTTGGAATGCGATGGGGACGTCCTTCTTCTTATCGAATCGTAGGCTCAAGATTTGGCACCACTAATCCGACTTCTGAACATTCCTTTATTTAAACTCCGGTTTCCGGACGTTGAGAGGTCGCTTATCTTGGAAATGCTTCTGCCGAAAGAAAACATCGTCCTACAACAACATATGAGCCAATACCCTTGCCCTGATATCTTCCAAAGTTTCTGCAAGATACTTGGTCAAGTCCAAGGACAAATCTAAGATATCATCCAACCCGCACTTATATGCTTTGATTGTTGTCCGGACGTCACAGTTCTTGACGTTGATCATCTTCGAGTTGAATCGATTGACATATTCGTTAGATTTATGTGTGAATTGTGATGTAGTATAAGTCGCTTGTTTGTTTTTCCATTTTGCGAATTGTTGGAAGAATTGATTAACCAGATCCATAAAAGAGTTAATAGTCTTCAACTTGAGATTAATCAACCATTGAAGGGTTGCACCGGTGAGAGTTGCTCTGAAACTCTTACACATGCACACTTCTTGATAAATCTGAGGATTGGAGGTCGTCCATATCAGTTGCTTATACTGGCGACGTGCTCATTTGGATTCATAACACCAGAATACTTAGGGTCATGTCGACTAGAGAAATATGGTAGGAAAATAGAGAAGCTTGGAAACCAGACGGAGGTTCGATGTCGACGGGTACCGCTGCTCCAGGTAATTTAGATAACAAGGACAGGACATTCTTATTATGTTCTTCGAGCAATCGGGTCATTGAAAGTTTGGTTTAGATTCCGTAGGAATATGGGCACAAAGGGTGGAGTTATTCCCAAGTTTTGGGTGGTGATGCTTGTGGTGGCATGTGGACCATGGAAATGAGATGATTAAGCTTCATCATTGATACCGTTAACGGGTGTGGTCGAAGGATTTATGGTGGGAATAGGATGTGTTGGAACTGGTGGAGGTGGCACGGGTGCCGATGATCCTAAGTAGAAAGTCATCAAAGATGAAAGCAAATTCCTTCTTTCAGGTTTCGCATAGCTTCCTAAGCACCCGACCTTCTTTTTGGGTTCCTAAAGGCATAGTAGCTTCAGTATCGAGTAAGGTATGGGATAGAGTTCGAGTTGAGCCCTCGGCACGAATAACTCGTACAACGAATTAGCAATCCGCCACTTTCGTCCACTCAGCCATATTTGAACAAGTAAAAGTTCTATCTTGGTTTGAGTAGGGATAACATTTCTCAACGGAAGTATTGGTGGCGAAGCAAGTAATCTGGTGACTGATGTTGTTGTCGCGTATACTGTTATTGGAAAGGAAACTATTCGATTTCATACATCTCAACTTTGAATATTAAACATACTTTGAAGAAACGATTACAATATCAGAAACATTAAAAATCAGTTTACAAACAAATATATGACTCTTAATCAATATTATATCTAAAGATTTAAAGAAGAAATACTAACTCAAATATTAATCTCAAAAGAATACATCTGACGTGAACTAGTGAGAGAATGAGAGAGAGAGAGAGAGAGAGAGAGAGAGAGCACTTCTTGATGTAAGGAGAATCTTGAGAAAAATGAATGGTGATTGTTGAATTTGCCCATTAGCTCCCTTTTTATATGAATAGCAAATTGACAGAAAATACCCTTGAAGAAATAAGACTACAGCTTTGCTACCCTTGAAGTTATGCAAATAGTGAGGCGACATCCCTTTGTTTGGAAACCAGCAAATACTTTGACCCAGCAACTACTTTGACCACTTGTACAATTTCTACCCATATTTGTCAGACACCTAACAAATAAAGTGCATTCAAACAACTGAGTTAATAAGTCAAGATTGGTAAACCATATATGATCTTTTAACAGAAACCTAGTGTACGGTTGCATACGAGTGCAGAAGGGAATAGGAGGTTTGATTATGGATGAGCCAGCTATACTCAGATTCACATTTGCGGACGTTGGTCGAGAATTTTGGATTTCTCGACTAGCCCTCTGATCTTGTCTGGTCAATCGAGCTATTTCTTGCCTTGTTGATGCTAGTTTGGCTTGCATCCTAGCGAATTGATCATCTCCATAACCTTCCATCCTGAAAATTTGTTCTATAGAAGAAATCGTTAGTAGTTGGTGTTTATTTCAAAGAATGGTCTTTGACTAGCGCTCTACGGTGGGTGTCAAACTGCTTATGCCAAAAATTACATCAATTATAATTTAAGGTTTGTTTGTGGATTTTTAATGATTAAAAGTCGATCAACTTTGAAATTAACATTGGCAAGTAGTAAAAAGTAAAGATTAACGAGGAGGAATTGGTGACACCGAAAAACCCTTAAATGAGGGAAAAACCCGTAGACGATATCGGGGATCGTCATGCACTATGGACGTCAATCAGGGACGTCGTCCTTCGATGATAATTACAATTCTAGAAGCAAAATTAACACGTCGGTCGTGGAAAGTAACAAAGAATAATGATCATCTTTCGTTGAACAACTTCGTATGCGTATAAAATTTGATAATCTGTCTCGTTTCTTTGAGATCTTTTGGTCTTTTATAGGTGATTTGTGGGACTGAGCCAATGGTTGATAACAGTCGACTATGATTGCCGTTTAATGGAGAAAGCTATTGGTATCGAATAGTCTTAAATCTTGGCTTTACATTATGATCTTCTTCATTCAATGATTGCATGTGTCTTAATTCATGCAATAAAAACCATACATAACGGTCGATGTAATAAATGTGCAGTTACTTGCATAGTTAGTATGATATGTCAATGAAAACTAAGATCGTGGACAAATAATCTTCAACCAAGGGTCGTAGATTTCATGGTCGCGGGAAACCTTCGACCAAGGGTCAATGGTCTTGTTGTCATAGATAACCACGATCGTAGGTGTCATAATTGTTGGTCGTACATATCTTGGTTCTAACTGTTGAGTCGAGGGAAATATCCTCGTCGGTCGAGTGTACGATGTTTTACCAAAACAACAGTCGTTGTCAGATTGTCTAGAGACCTGGTAATGGCCGCAATCATCTCGGCGAAATCTGCTTTGGTAACAGGTTGTTGATCTGCCATGGTTAGTGAAAAGAACAGATGAATCCTGCTCTGATACCAATTGATATAGATTTATGGAATATCGACAAGCGTCTAAACCTTTTGGGGTTGAGAATTACGAAATAGTAAAACTCAAGAAACTAAAAAACTCTCAAAAGAGAAGAATTGTATTAATCGATGATCTATTTAACACTGAAGCCAATAACCCTATTTATAGCTCAAGCTAACTTAAGGATAACTCTATGTAATTAAAAAGACCTTTAAGGCAACTGTAACGAAACTAGGAAGGCAGTTAAAAGATAATGGTGAAGAAAAACTGCTGGAACAAGAGTCGGACCTGCCTATAGGTTTCGGACGAGTTTCCGCACTTAGTCGCATGAAAACTCGTGGTAGCCGCTGTTTCTACTCGGGTTTCTAGTGTTCAGCATGACTTGCCCCGCATCTTTAAATCGCATGGAAAGCCACGATAGCCACTGTTTGTCTTTTTGCGACTTCAAGCTGGCTTTTGATCGTACTTGCAAGTCTATATTAAGAGATTAAAAAGGATAAGATCCTATAATACTGGCATTACTGCAACGGGTGGGTCTTAAAACAACACACTGCCGTATCAACTTTAGAAGAACGGTTTATACCATTACGAAACAAAAAGTTTTTGTGGGCCGCAGTGTCATTTTAATAAATAATTAATAAACGAATTCACTCGCTTTCTTTTTTATTACAGATAAAAGGCTTATAAACTGTGTAAAAAAGAGAAATCTAACGAGTGATCAAATACCATTGACACATCCAGTAATTCTTTTCACAGTAGCTTAAATCAGATCAAACATTCGAGATATCAGCATGTACCCAAAACACAGAGAACTATGGATAAGAAAATACAGACTGATGTAAATTTATTCAGTAACAAACACACCATTGTTGAAGCCCCAAAATCACAAACAGAACATTGTTTCTTCAGAGCCAACACTTGTAAGATCTTTTAATTCACAAAGGAAGAAAAGAGCAAGAAACATGTATGCGTCTTGCATCAATTCTTTAACAGCCCAGGATCAACCTTTTTACCAATTTAACATGCCAGGATATGAATGCCAGCAACAAACACTAGCCACTGTTTTACGTACGGCCAAAGATGACTATAACAAACATTAAGACCCCACACCTAGTAGACTCACTGCAATCATGATCACGTTCCACCACATCATTCTCCAAAGATTAGCCACCAGCCGATGTTAATCCATTCCCAACCCAAATAACCACATATCCCCATAACCAGAAACGCACAACATTACAAGGTTCTCTTGGACTCCACTGAGAAAGCCAGTTGCAGTCTCTGTAACAGTAAAGAAATTGTAAAACAAATCTCACATTCCATAATGTTACATGTATTGACTTGTGTAAGCATGAAGCGAACATATGAAAATCAATACACCCATCTTGTAAACTGAATCATCTTTAATCTGGAACAAATATTCCTAGAGAAATCCCAGTATATGTATGCAAACAAAATGAAGATTCTGGATGAAGCGAACTACTTAAATGAACAAATATCTCAAACTATAAGTTCGAGCTCTATGGCCTTAAAACCACTCAAACTCACCTTCAGGATGTAGGATCTTCCAAATTAATGGACTAAGGGGGTGTTTGGGTTGATGGAACGGTTTTAACGGATTCAGACATCATAGAAGGATTCGGATTTGGAATCCTTGCTTTTGGGTTTGTAGTCTTTGGAATGGAATTGAATTCCTTTCCTTATAAATAATTTATATAAACAAACTATAAATAATTATAAAAATAATTAAATTACCTTTTTTATCAATTGATTATTACGAGATAAATGTTTTTAACATATTTTAAAACATTAATACATACAAATCCTACGAAATCCCATGAAATACCAACCACCACCTCCGTGGATTTCAAATCCTATGATTGTGGGATTTCATTATTTCAAATCTAGGAAATCCTTCAAACCAAACATTGGACTGGAATAAAATTCAATTCCAAATCCCTCCAAATCCAATCCAACCCTACAAACCAAACATTGTTTCCCCCGACCTTTTATCATGAAAAACCAACTGTCCAAATAAATTAGGTTCTTGATATCTAGTTTTCTATTTCCCTTTGGTTCCCTCCTCTTTATTTTCTCATCTGTAAGTGTAATAAAGTTGTAATTTTGTATTTTAGTAAAAGGAAAACCCCTGATTTATATGGTATATCATCACAGAGTAAGAAACAGATAATCTAACAAAATCAGATCATCCTTAAATCATGCCTAAATCACAGGCCAAACCATTGCCAAATATATCCAATACTCCTCAAGTTGAAGCTTAAATGTTAATCACGCACAACTTGCCATAAAGACAATCACTGGGTATTCCATAAGGGTTAGACTCGCTTTAACACCTCTCACATAGCAAACGTCTTCCACTCAGCAATCAGATCTAGGACAGGAAATAGTCCGATCATCCTAGATATACGGAAGGCATATCTGGCAAGAACTAAATGGAACAGATTCCAGCAAGTGACTGCAACATTAGAAACAGAGTCGCAAAGCCAAAAAAAGAGCAAACCAACAGTGGCCTGTTCCTGGAGATAGATGAGATCTGGTGACAGGTCATAGAAGTTGCATAAAAACAAAGGAGCCAAGCCAACACAGCAGAACAACATATCAATGGAAGAAAACAAACAGAATAGTAAGCAGGACGACAGATAAAATGGAACCCAGAGGTGATGCTAGACTACAACATTCCTCCCATCAACAGTCAATTACTGCATCAGCAGAGACAAGTACCTCTAAAAACCCAATACTAAGCTTTGATACCATGTACCAAATAGAGTTGTAATGTTGTATTCATTAAGAGAGAAAACACTTTTATATGGTATGTCATGGTAGAATAGAAGGAAACAAGATCAAATCATCATGTTGTATTCATTAAGAGAGAATACACTGATTTATATGGTATCTCATGGTAGAATAGAAGGAAACAAGATCAAATGAACCTAAAAATAATACGTAAATCACAGACCAAATCATTGTCAGCCATATCCAAACAGCAAGTGCCAGGTACTAGTTTCCTCTCGCTTGTTTCTCTTTAATACTTCCTTTGCTTGATTATTTTTAAGTTTTTCTCACCATGTCTAGGCCGAATGGTTGTGATCACCGGATATGGCATGCGTGTTCGATCAACAAGTACCCTAAAGTAGTACTTTGATATTGGTATAGGTACTGTCGTACTAATGATGTTTCTTTCACAAGTCATCTATATTTTATTAAGACAATATGCATACATCCTGGAACTACAAATTTCCATTTATCTATGCATATTAATGTGTGTTGCACACCAATTCCAGTTGTTTCAAAAATGTCAATCCTGTACTTTGAGAACTACAAACTTAAATGCTTTACCAAAGTCCTTGCATATTTGATCACAAAAATCGATTAAACATGATATATATTAGTTTTTTCACCCATAAGGTGAATCTAATTCAAGGAAGTTCAACACCAACATAAATGTTAACATTGTGTAATTGGTTGTATAAACAGTACCATCCTAACAAACACTGTAGAACCTATTGCATTTTGCAGTTGTCTTGTTAAACATATCCAAAACAAGGTCTTCACACACAATATTAAGCACTACTATCAACCGGAATGATGGCAGTAGATATATGTTAAAAGGCCAATTACATATTCAAAATAATCTTGCTATCTTATTTTTAATTTTCATGTTACTGAAAGACGCAAAATATTTTAAATCGTTAACCTCCACAAATATGAAGAATAGGTAGTTGGTTGCAGAAAAATCTACCTCTTCGCAGCTATTAATTTCAAAACCCATACAAGCATAATGAATGTAAGCATAGATCATATCACCAAACATATGAGGCTAACAATTTTATAGATAAAAATTTTTACTGGTAGACACACAGAGCAAAAAAAGACGTGAAGATGTGAATTGCAGCAAACAGAATGGGCACAAGTGGGCAAAAAATCTTACAGGTAAATGTTGTAGTCAGTAAAAATGCTAATAGCACTATGTCATAAATTATCCACCATCCTTTTCACATAAGCCTGTTAATTATTTAAGACCTAGTAGTAATATGCAAAGGTTGCAGAATTCACACTTACCATTTTGCCTGCAAGCATGCCGAGGTTGCCAGCACCACCATGCTCCAACATAAATTTAAGAAAATTGAATGAGAGGTTGGAGTGTGTACTTCATGATAAGAGGATCAAAGGCCATCAGGATAATCGCGAATTACCTTCATACAACATAATTACGTTAAGACCAGCAGAAGCCAAAAAGAACAATCCTGAAGTGAAAAGAAAGTCGATAAATTCTGTGAAGTTCAGAAACACCAGGCAGTGGTCACAGAAATCACACTCATGCATTTGAGAGCAGAAAGATATAAAAGAGCACAAAAGCAGAGTTCAGAATTACCATGCATTGCTCATGGAAATCACACAAACTGGTTGCCCTTCCATGTTGAATGCCCTTGTTGGTCCAATCTAGGAATATACTGTTGTTGAAATGATTCATGGTGAGAATCTGAACTTCCCAGATTTGGGCTTTCCTGCCAGTTTTTCTGCTTTTCCCCTTCAAACTGAACCACTGGGACTTGTTTTCCAGGAAAAGGGAAGCTAGACGTCGCTACAGAATCATTCATATACTGGGAGCTCAAATTTGAAGGCAGATTAATTGGTTGAATACCAGCCCTCATTGATGATTGCAACTGATATCCATCTAACCAGCTGTAATCATCATTTAGGGGATTTTGACCCAATGCAGGGGCATTCTCATTGACTTGCTTAGGACGAACAGAACTAAAACCAGGTGGTGGACCAAGGTGTCTCACAGGTCTGTTCGTTGAAATCTTCAAAGAGCTAGTAGGCATAGTTGATGATGTATTTCGAGCCACAATGTAAGGATCTGTTCCAGAAGGCGCAACTGTATCATACTTTATATGAGTAACTGCTTCTCTAAAGGATGCATTTGCATCATCAATCACAGAGTGCACTGCCATGCTTTGAGATGTTCCAGTATACAACGTACCACTTTCCCTGACACTAGCCTGCTGAACAGGAAGGGCAAGGGAAGCAGCATTTGCAATCTCAATATCTCTGTGTATTCCAGGTTTACCTACATGCCCATTTTCCAGCAAGCTCAAACCTTTTAATCCACCGGTAAGTGCAACTTGCCTGTTGCCAGACCACATTGGAGTTTGGAAATGAAATGGCTGCCCAATGTTTGGGGTGAAATTGGTAACTGGCAAAAGTGACTGTGAATGAGTGTACACTACATTCTGCTGGTGAAAATCAGCATGTGGAACTGAAACAGGAACTGCAAACTGAGAGCTACCAATATCTTTATTTTGCACATGCTCAAACCCTTCTTGATGGCTCCCTTTTGAAGCAAGCACTTCAGTTCGATTATCAATCACAGTTGGTCTGAAAACAATCACTTCATCCTCCTCTTCACCTTCCACATGTGATTCGATTTTTAGTGGTGTGACCATCACGGCTGCAGTGGTATCAGCAGATGTTTCTTTAATACCCCCATTTGATTTAGGGCTGCCTGGGTCGGCAGAAAGATTGCTATGTTGTTTCTGAGTCTCAACACCTATAACAAACTTCTTCAGTTTTGAATCAAATCTTACCTTCTTGTGGTCAATCGTAATCATATCTGTGATGACTTTCCCTGCAGCCAGAATCCTCTTCACACGAGCTACTTTATCTTTCTTGCTGTCACCTATGTGGGAATGTTTCCCTGAGTAATCCAACAAAAATTGTGCAGGCTGAAGGGGCAAAAATCCTCTTAGCTCAAAGTCCTCCCACAATGCAGGCTGGTATTCATTTTCCCCCTCCTCATACCTTGTCATATCAGTGAAGCAGCTCATGTCTTCATCATCGTACGTAACCAAACCAGCAGATAGTAGCTTATTGAACAAAGATATGCAGTAGCTCCAAAAGTTCATCTGAGCTGTTGTTCGTTTTTCATCAGTCTCACTACGTATAACATCAGGACGACAAGCAATCCATTCCACACAAACGAGAATGCCAGGTAACAGGAAACTTGAGGATGGATCAGCCAACTGAAGACATCTCTTCAGTAGTTGACCCATCAGCTCATAAAATGTGATTAGTGCATCCTGGAGAAGCACTGTGTTTTGTACAATATCTGCATAACTCTGACCTTCAGCCCCTCCTTTCACGTTATTTACTGTAAATATAAGTATGGAGACGACTATTACAATAAAAAGTCCATGTTCAACTGCATCTGCGCCAAAACTCGGCTCCTCCTCCAGCCCAAAAGAAAGAAGCTCCTGCAAAGCATTGCTAACTAGAGAGAGAATTTCTTCAAACATCTCCAAGCTGAAACAATGTTTCATGCAATTATTTTCCTATCAAATTAGTCAATCAATCAATCACAACTCTATCGTCTAAGAACATACCTTGTGCGCGTGAAAAGAATACCATTCAAGCGAACAAACCGAACACGAAATGCTTTAAATGTTTGACGAACTTCAGCTGCTCTTTCCACGTCAGATCTAGTAGCATCAGCAATTGGTTCCTTTGACCGGACTGCTGGCTCCGCTTTCCCTCTTCCTCTGCTTCTCGTCCGAACAGGTGATTCCTTGATAGAAGGGGATTTGGAATCAACATGCAACTGAGCATAACTTTGTCGATTCTGTCATATAAAAAACACAGGTGAGTAGCATACCAGATTACACATTATCTGCACATGAACACTATTGACAACTTCCACATCAATCACAAAGAACAAAATCGAAAGAAAAACATGACCTGAAAAATTAGATGATATTCTCCCAATTTTACCATAAACCTATTTCACATTTCAGAGCAAATGAGCCATTCCACACCTAAATGTACTCCAAACAAGCCGTTTATAGTAACTAGCTGAGCATATGCCAAGAAGAAAAACCATAAACAAAGTACAAAATGATGCAAACATTAACATTGACAAGCCACCTCCTCAATTTGACGGAGATGAATGGCATCTCTGATTCACTACTAAGGCCAACTCCTTATGGTATATGCCACTCACAAATTTACTTTAATTTAACAAAATTATATATGAAAACTTAGGGGATGTTTGGTTTGATGGAATGGTTTTGAGGGATTTGGATTTCATGGGAGGATTTGGAATTGGAGGGATTTGGATTTTGGATTTGGAAGAATTTGAAATCTTTGGACTGTTTGGTTGGTAGGATTTGGAATGGAATTGAATTTCATTTTTTATAAATAATCTACAAAAACAAATTACAAAACAAGTGTTTTTTTAACATATTTTTAAATTTTATTACAAACAAATCCTATGAAATGCCACAAAATACCAACCATCCCTGCAGGATTCCAAAATCCTATGTTTGTATAACAAATCCTGGAAATCCTTCAAACCAAACATGGGATTGGAATGGAATCCAATTCCAAATCCAATCCAATCCAATCCTGCAAACTAAACAGGACCTTAGTTCTTAAGATCTTTTATTTGTAAAGATTGAATGCTTCTTCTCCATTAAGTAACTTAGATTCAATTTAAGATCATGAAACTATTTGTTTGACCATAGAAGCCAAATACATACCAGTAACATTGGAGTAAAGTAGATACCATGTTGGTACTTTCTTGTCACGGTAGATCCCATATGCCCCAAGCCAATTAACATAAGAACATAATACTGAAATGGCTACCAATTTTAGGATCAATTATTGGAAAATAGGTACACTAACAAGCAAGACTAATACAAAAAGGCTACCATCTGTTTAGAGGGCATTTTATTAGATAAATGGTGCATTTCACGGCATACAGCAAGATCAAATCCTCCCATACTTCAAGCCAGATCATGCCGAATTGATTAATCAAGTGTGAACTTTAGTATGATCTTGTCACAGCCCACCACTATTAAAGTACCTTTGAATGACCTAGGACAATTATCCACTCTAGCAAAAGCACCGTGACAAGCAACATCGTGCAGGTCACAGAACATATAGCTGAGACACCAGCATATACCAGACCAGCAATGTGTCAAGCCTTCTCATATATTATTCAAAGCTCAGTTTCCAACAGTGACATGTCAATATACAATACCTTCTCAAAGGCTACTATCAAGTTATCCCTTGCAGTCGAGAAGGGATTTTCAGCTGCCAGACTTCGGAAGTAACGATATACTGCCATCATTTCATCTCCTGAATAGGTAGCCAATATAGCAAGCTGCAAAATATAAAATGGTGGTTACAAATAAATGTAAAATCTATTAAATTTTCTAAGATATTCAATAATGAATTTATGATTCCACTGCACTATGGCGGTGTGCCAAGGGAGTATCTCCAAAAATAACCTGATGATGTGGATTCCCACTTGATGGCCAAAGAGAAGCTGCTTGCAAGTAGTAACTTGAAGCTGCTGCATAATCACGACTTTTTGATTCACCTTCCCCATACAGTCCTTTATAACGTGCAAGGTCGCCCAGGTATATTAAACAGCGGTGGCAGGACAACAAGCCCTTTTTAATATCAATAGATCTCTTTCCATCTTTCTCCTTCACATTATGGTTCTCAGGTTCAGGATAGAACTGCCCTATAGGGAGTCCATGTTTGGCTCTAATTTTTAAAATTAAATCATGGTAAAATCCAGTAGCTTCTGAGAGAAAGGTTTTAAACTGTAGACGTATTTTTGAAGCTCGATCTGGTCGAGCATTCCCTCCCCTAGTTTGAGATGAAGTTGAATCCGTAGCAGATGCAGCGCTATAGTGAGCCCTAAATTCCTCAATTCGTCTGTAATGTAACTGCCAAAGAGCAAATTCAATATTGTGCTTCTCAGAAAAGCTATGGTCCTCAAGTACTATTGTTTCAAAATTTTCACGCATTTGCTGCCAGGCATTTGGATCTGAAGGCACTCTTGCTTGAGCTGACTTACGGCGCCTATTCTCCAACTCGATATTCTGAATGCAAAGCAACAAGTGTCATGGATACACAAATTACAGACACTTCTAAGATTTACAGCAAGTCATGTTTGTTAGATAATTCTACTTCTTTCCAGTTGTTTCTTTGAATAAAAGTTAAGGACCTCAAGCTTTTAAATTACGAACTCTTGTTTTTAAGTCGTCCCAATAACAAACCATGCAGAATAATCTCAAATTTCATATCATAGACCTTTATGTCAGATCAATACAACAGTTTCAGAAGATTACGAGACTTATTAAATCAAATAGGTTGATTTTAAAGTTCAATACAGACATTGATTCTACATGATTTGCAAGTAGTGATAACACTACTGAAAATGTAACAAATGCTACAACAGGTTAAAAATGTAGTAATGAACAGTGGACATTTTATATCAGTTCAGTGCACTGAAGTACTAGATTCTAAATGTAATCATGCTAACCTATAATAGAATGGAGAGAATAAGATCAAAATAACAATCAGGACCTTGTGTGCATTAAATAGAACTGTTGCAACATATTTCCTCTTGTTTCTCTTTCTATATTCCCAAGGTTCTAAATGGCGTGAGGCGTGGCGTGATGGCGAGATCAAGCCTCAAGGCTTACTTGTTACAGCGAGGCCATGGCAATTTCCAAGGCGTGGCTTAAGGCGGCAAATCTATATTATATATGTGTGTTGTATATATATATGTGTGTGTGTATTTATGTCAGTGTCTTGAACAATAATGATTAATTAATTAACAATTTAAATTCATATAAAAAAGATAAACAAAAGAAGAACCATGAATTGATAATTTGATATCAAATATACAGAGTTTACAAAAATGATATCAAATATACAAAGTAAGTTACTGTTTGCGTTTGCGGTCCCTGTTTGGTAATCAAACAACAACATTAAAGTAATGAAATCAAAGAACAACAAATGAAAGTACTCCAATGATATTTTTCGTATGCAAAGAAGTAATTTAGGTTTTTCTTTTTCCCCATTTTGTTGATCAAGTATTTGGCTATTTGCCGGTATAAACTATAAAGTTACATTTACATTTATTCCTATTCAAGTTTTAAAAATCGCAAATTTCCTTCCACGCCTTATAACGCCATAACGCGCCATGGCGAGCTTTATGCCTTATATCCATACCAAGGGGGTTAACGTGGCGGCAAGGCTGCGCCAAGGCGCTGTTTTTAGAACATTGTATATTCCCTAACTAGTGTGTGTATCTCCTTATCCACTATGGAGAAAAATAGAACTCCATCCTTCCAATTCAATTCAGTCCCATTCTTCACTTAACAGACCACCAAACTATTTCTGCGAATAGTATCTGACAATTACCCCTTTCAGATTCAAATGAAATACTTTTTATGCAAGTGGATCATACGGAGAGAAAAGAATAGTGTTGCTGAGATAAGGATATTGAAAAGCCTTCCAATAGTTGTACAATATCAATTTAAGAACAAATACCAACTAAGAATGATGATCAAATGTGTATCATTATTATGTTCATATGATCATTAAATGTTACTTTTGAGAAAAAAATGATATTGAAGACAGGTGAGAAAATATACAATCACACACACTTCACAGAAGATCTTCCACCGTAAAGCAGGTTTAGTAAATAAATGATTGGTCAAGATATATTTTGAGATACTTATACATGTTTGTTCATTCATGCATCATATAACTAATATAATGTTAAGTATAAATATACTTAACTAAAATAATATTCTGATACGTAAGCTAAGGATCAAAATCATTTATTACAAACACAAGATCTTCAAGATATCATGTACATAAAAGAAATCCCTTCGTTGTCACCGCAGAGATCTTTGACAAGATTTCTTAATTTGCCAAATTGATGGAGAAAGCCACCATATTTTAAGACAAGCAACTTAATTGAGGTGATCTAGCACCTAAGGGTTTGAAAAATTGTTTCATGTCAATACCTTTTTCTTTGCTTTTTCAGTTCAGCCTAGAATTGTATCAATTGGTTTCGAGCATAATCACTGTTTCTACATGACGAATTCAATCACAAATCTTCTCTAAACATGATATATCATATATGTACTATTACTCATTTGTGGAGGACAGAAAACAGTATTTGTAATAATTATATGACAAGAACCATTACAAAAGATCATTATAAATTACTGATGCTTACTTTGTCATATAGACGTTGGGCAAGGTCATGTGATGAAGAAGCAACTGCTTTATCCATCTTCACAATCATCACCTATCAGAACATGCTTGAGATGGAACAAATTGTTTTGAACCTGCCGGACAGACATGCAAGTTTACCATAACAGCCACAAACAGAAATACCACAAGCACAGAAAGAATAGCCAATCTCTTGACTCTTCTTTCTCAAAAAGTTCATTCTCTTAACTCAGAAAAGAACCAAAAAAAGGCATTCATGAGTGATAACTAGAAGATACCAACTACCAATCCATCTGACACTAGGTCAGTTGTTGTCATGCAAACCGAATCATGGAGGAAATACTAAACTACTTGCCTGTTAACATAGAAGAAAGTCAAACAAAAAACACAATTCATGATTGAATTACCAAAGCAAAAAACTAGCACCAACGTTGCCTCAAGGTAATCCAAAAAATTACACAAGATCTACATTAGAATGGCCCAACTTCCCAAAACAAACTGACATATTGACAGATTTCATTAGGAGAAATAAACCCCCGAGATTACATTTTTTTTCTTTTTGCTAACAACTTTAAGTGTCAACCCTGTTTGGTTAAACCTTCAAAATTGAAATAGATTTCAAACTTTTCAATCAAAAAGACCAACTTCACTAAACTTTACATATGGTACTTCTAATAGTATAACGAACACTTCAAATTTCAAACAAAATCCATATAAAATCTGCACCTCGAGAGTACTCAATTGACTACAATCAAAAGAGTAGCTCTTTTCCAGAAGATGATAGAACAAGAAAGGAAACTTTTTTTCCCACACACAAACCCACGTGTACTATTCCTTGATGAAAACCAATTTATCAAATGAAACAACCTTATGCTCACGGTCATAATAACCGTCGCTCCCTTGCGTAATACACATTAAAATAGTCGCAACCCATCGTTTATCACACCTCAAAACAACTGAAGTTCGTATTTGAAGTGGAAGAATTCATGTAATCCATAAATGATAATCCATGTCTTAATTAGCTAGAACAAAACCATAATTTTAGGAAAAGTTATACAAGAAAACAAGCATGAACTTACGGATAGAATCAACCAGATCTGATGGAGATTTTTCCTGTCTGAGAATCAATGCAACATGCAAATTCTTCGTCTGGAATTCACCGACAGAAAGACGGAGAAAGGGGGAATAAATCTAGGGTTTGGGTCAATAAGAATTGGATTACCCATTTTGACGAAGCTGTGTGAATCGCGATAACGAAATCAATCGGTCGTCTGGGGCTGGGCTAGGTTAGACTGCGCGTTTACCCCCACATCATAATATCCTCCTACCCCTTTCTTTATTTCTTTTTATATTTTTGGTAAATTACACAAATGGTCCCTCAACTTTCTATCATTTCTCATCTCTCAATGGAAGCGGAAGAGGAAGAATGGTCAAGGGTCTCGCAGCTCAGTTTAACAACAGAAATATTCCGATATGTTTAACTACAGTTCATTGGTAACCTGGTCTTTAGAAACAAACTCAATATCTTTCTAGTTGAGTTTAATGTTAACTAGTGTTCAATATTGCACGTTGTACGATAATACAAATTTATGTAAAATTAATGTCATTTGGTTTTAATGAATATTTTAAATAAACGGACAAAGTTAGATTATCAAAATAACATTATAATTCAAAAAAATTAACTGTTCAAATCTTGTTATACAATTCAAATTTCTATCATCTTCCTTTTTATTCATAAATATTCAATTAAATTTTATTTTTATATCGATTTTTCTGTAAGATATGAATCAAATGCATATTTTAGCCAAATAATCATTTTAATTTGGGCAAAATGCGCAAAATAGCAACCTACTTTTACAAATTTCCTTATTATAGCATTGTATTTTCAGTTTTTTTTATTACAGCAATGTACTTTCAAAATATTTTTTATTAGGGCATTGTACTTTCAAAAATTTACCTATTATAGCATTGGGTAACCTTTTAAATTAAATTTACCCATTAGACCAGGTTTCTTTGCCACCTCATCGTTCACGTAGGCTGTCCACTTATACGATAGTGCTGACATGGCATTTTTTATTACAGCATTGTACTTTCAAAATTACTTTATTATAAGATCACCAATTTCTATTACAACATTATACTTTTAATTTTAATATTTTTATCATTTAAACATTGTAAATTTAATGGCAAAATGCGCAAAAAATAGAATATCATAAATTAAACATGTTTATAAAAGATCACTATTTCACGAATAAAAATATCCAACAAAAAACATTCATTCATCGAGTTCATCATAAATTTCATGGTTTACTTTGTAATACCAAAACCTAAACAAGTGAACATCTTTTCAACAACAAAAAACCATCATATTCACATTCGTCTAACAATGTTATTTAATCAAGTGGAACCGCTCTGTCACAACTACTACTTTCTCCATCTTTGTCAACGGTTTTTTCCGTAGGTTGTTAAAAATTATCCTTTCACTTGGCCTCCTTTTTTTCGGGATGAGCTTTGGTCATGATTCCACTTTAGATGGTTCCTGTTCAAATTAGTGAACAAATTAGTATGTAATCGATATATAAAATTAGTATGAAACTCGAAGATTTTACATTACCTTTTTAACATCCCTTTGTGAACCCGTTCCGCCTCGTGTACCCCCTTTACTGCTTTATCTATGGATATTAGTCCTAGGCTTGCCTAGTGGTCTGATATCTTTCAATGGTGCATCTTTTTTCTCATTCTTGCATGATCTACTGTTATGACCTGCTTCATTACATTTGGTACATGTCATTCTTCTTCCTTGTCTTCTAATCTGTCCTGTTGAAGTCAATAATCTTTCCACTGCATCCCTTCTTCTTTTAAGTTTTGGCCTTCCAGACAATCTTCTTGGCAACGGCGGCAAAGGGCTGATATGATTGGTTTTCGGCCACATTTTGATTCCGGAAAAGGGGGCTGGAGCTGCGGGATCACAGAAGAAACAGCCGAGACTGCTGTTGGTTAGAGGCAGAAAAACAGCAGCCCGTAGCTGCTGGTTGGAAGCAGAAAAACAGCAGCCGAGACTGCCCGTTTTGGAGAAGAAACAGCAACCGGTAGCTTTTAGTTAGAGGCAGAAAATAGCAGCCGGTAGCTGCTGGTTGGAAGCAGAAAAATAGCAGCCGAGACTGCTTGTTTTGAAGAAGAAAACAGTAACCGGTAGAAGCAGCAGAAACAGCAGAAACAGCCGAGACTGCTATTGGTTAGAGGCAGAAACAGTAGCCATAGCTGCTGGTTGGAAGCAGAAAAACAGCAGCCGTAGCTGCTTGGATTGAGGAGGAGAAAGCCGCAGCTATCGATCGGAAGAAGGAAGAAACAGCCGCAGCTGCTGTTTGGTCAGAAACCGAAGCAGGGAGGCTGCTGTTTTGGAATACAACAAGTCTTGAAAAATGCCCACGGTCGAAGCTTCAACAGCAATGCATCTCGTATCTCAGTCCCGTAAGTGTTACATAGTCTGTGTATGTGGTTTTATAGGACGTAAAAATGTCTAAATGTACTTAGAAACCGCTTTATACAATAAGTTGACACGACACTTTTTGGTGTCTTAACAAGCTTTTTAGGACAATTTCGAAATAAAACGTCATATTAGTCTTTTTACATAACATTATTGAAAAAGTGTCATAAAAATTGTGTTTAATATACATATCAAATTGTCGTATAAAAAGCTAATACTATACTTAATTTCAAAAACGTCCTAAAAAATTTGTTTGGATGCCCAGATACGTTCTAACATCCGGTTGTAAAATCTTTACATAAGATGCACGATTGTTTGGTTCTATGGACTCTGGCAGTCTGGACATTTTAGTCGTTCTATAAAACGGTTTTATTGTAGTAATCACACTAAACTCGATACAAAAATCGTACCTTTTTTCTTATTTGCAGATAGAAAGGGAGGCTTATGAAGCTACAGTGGAGGACGGGAAATCCATGTACAAACTGAGCCGGAAGCTTCTCGACACAAGATCGGGGCCGGCTGGTAGCAAGTGGATATTCATGCTTAGCACGTCGAATAGTTTGTATGTCGGAATGAAGCAAAAAGGCAAATTTCAGCATTCGAGTTTTCTGGCTGGTGGAGCTACATTGTCAGCCGGACGGTTAGTGGTTATAGACGGGATCTTGAAGGTGTGTTTATATAACTAAAATCTCGAATTACCATTTCAAATTGGTTAGAAAAGCGTAATCTTGAAGTGTGGTTAACGTTAATTTCTTCAAGTCGATAGGTGGTCTGGCCTCACAACATAAGTAGCATAGACTTTTCTTATCCATGTAGTTTCATGGATAAGAAACATTCCATGTAGTTTCATTTTCATGAGCCTTGCTAGGTACAAGGCACCAAGGCATGCATAAGTAGAGCTTAATAAGATGGATGCCAAATATGGATGTTGAATCCATGGTTGTGAGAATGTGAACATATAAAATATACACTAGCCAGGAGGGAAACTATAAGAGAACAGGAGGAAAAGCTACAAGTAAAACCTATGTTGGGATACAATATGATAGTTTTGGTAGATTATGTGGTTATCTATATACAGGCACACTAACAATATGCTATCGAGGAGCAGTAAGTGGGATGTTAAGGGTGTTTATGCTGATATAGATACTTTGAGTTTTAGAGTATTTATATTTGACCAACGTGATTGCCACACAAAAATTATTTATGTTGGAAGCTTCTTGCAGGTAGAGAGGAAGCTGCTTCATTTTTTTTACCATTAGTTAAAAAAGTCATTATAAGTAGCAGTCAAAAGATATGGGAAATCAAACCCAAATATTAAACTTTTGTCATTTGCTTATTGATGCACTCTTTGTGATTCACAGGTGCATATGTGAATTGGGTTCTAACTCATATTTCAGGGATATAAGTTGAAGAAATTAATATAACTAAACCATACATAGTAATTTAGCATACTTTTAGAAGGGACAAATAATTAAGTTCAGTAAATTTGATCCAATTTCTTCCTTCCTTTAATCTATTCACAGGTGGTCTGCAATTGCATCAAGACTTCCTGGAAGGACAGATAATGAAATAAAGAATCACTGGAAGGACAGGTGGTCTGCAATTGCATCAACAAAGCCAAATGGAACCAGCATATAGTTTTGGAAGGACAGGTGGTCTGCATAGCAGACAGAATATCAACTTCTTTTGGCTTGATAGTTATCAAGTTATGTATTGGCATTTTAAGATCATATGTTCTCTTTGTAGATCTTTTAAGTTTTGGCATTATACTTGTTAGAAGATAGAAATATATTAGATTGGGCTAATTAGTGTACACTTGGTGATAGGTTTTGTCACTGTTTTAGTCTAACTTTACTACTTTTAGTCTAACTTTACTGTTTTAGTCTAACTTTTCTTGTATTCAGCATAACCTCTGTTTTACTGCAATGACTCTTTGTCTTTGAAACGTATCGGTTGTAATAGAACAAGCAATTCCAATCCCAATTCAAGATTTTGAAAGGTAACCCCTTCTCTTTCTTATTAACGCAATATCGTACATTACATTGCTGTAAAATATCGATAAAGAAAGACAGGAAGTCGATAAAGAAGACAGGAAATGTACATACACATTGCTGTAAAATATCGATAAAGTTAAAATGAACTTACCTGTTGGAACAGGATGCGCGATGAGGAAGGAAGTCGATGAGAGTTAGTCGATTAGGGTTTAGATTTGATCAGGAAGAAGAGGGTGAGGGTGAGGGTCGATTAGGTCAAAAGGAACACCATGTGTGCGATTGAGGGTGAATGAACAGTCATTATGAAGAGGAACGATGAGAACGAACTGTCTGAAACAATAAGAGGGATTGAGCGTTTTTCATTTTCAAATATTGTTTTTAAATTAAAATTTTCTTTTAAATCACACGTAGGAATTCCATGTGTAACGGGTTATCCTACATGGTTTCCATGTCATTTTAAATTTGACACGTCAACAAAGAAAAATCTGTTTAAAAGGTAACAGGTTGCCCAATGCTATAATGGATAAATTTTTGAAAGTACAATGCCCTAATAAAAAATATTTTGAAAGTACATTGCTATAATAAGAAAAACTGAAAATACAATGCTATAATAAGAAAATTTGTAAAAGTAGGTTGTTATTTTGCACATTTTGCCCTTTTAATTTTCAAATGTGTATCTTCTCCTTTCATATATTCGTAATCATTCTCCAATCTCTTATGTGATCCATAACGTGAGGTAACATAAACAATACCACAATTCAAATATTATAATATATTTCATACATCTACTATTTTTCTTTTATTATATAATGACTTTCA